GGAAAGAGGCTTTTAAATTCTTTTGCACATTATGAAGCGGTATAATTTTCTCTAGAAAAGCATTCTTCTTTTTCAGATCTCGCTCTTTGCATTAAAATCTATACACAAAGCAAAAAAATGAATCTAATAAAATACTTAACCATCAGAATTATAACAAATTTGAATTAATTTGAAGATCTAAAGAGGCTTAGGCTCTTACATATGGGAATGGAATATAACAAGTAACGACCTCCCTTAAAACCCTGTGACAAGTCTAATGCATTTTATTTTTTCCAGGAGGAAAAAAATAAACAAAAGAAAATAACAAAAGTAAAATATATGGATTAGTATTGCATATACTACAAATAGAGGCTAACTTGTATATAAGATACAGATTATCCTCCAACTCTAATGAGGCAAGCAATAGCTAAAGGGGCAAATCAATGCAGAGAGTCAAGTCCTAAATCAAAGCTCAAATCTAAGTAACTACTTAAACACCAGGAAAAAAGGCCAGATGCTTTTTCACCAGTAACCCAGGAATTTAACAAGTAACTACAAGCCAACACAGTTCTTCTCTCCTAAAAGAAAGGAGTAGTTGTACACTGCCAGGACAACGTGCTCACGAAAGGAAAGAATTTTGCCCTTCTGCAGTATGAGGATCAGCATCACGTTCTCTGATCTGCAGCACTTCTGGACTGCACAGACTTTACCTACAGCCACCACTGAAGCTATGCACACAAGGTTTGTTCTGTGTAGCTTGAGAAGGGAAATGCAAGATTGGCACAAACCACAGCGCATTATACATTTCATGGAAGTCTAGGTACATCAATTTATACTTTCCCCAGTCTCTTAAAATACCTTCCTTCTAAACAAGGATCAAAAGTTAATAGGAACAGCATTTGCATGTTGCTACAGGAATAACGGTGCCTCTAATAAACCTTTGTATCATTCGGAATAACCTGCCTAAGCCCTTCTCAGTGAAAAACAAGAGTGTCCTTACAACTAGGTCGCTTAAGTGATTTGATGGCTTGTGCACTGTGGCATTAGAAACCCTCAGATTAGAAAAAAATACCACTATGTGAATGCTTAAATCTGCAAGAAGTTTATCCATAGGAAAGGCTCTCTTAAAGAGAAGGTTTATTCAGAACTCCGAGAAATGTCTTACCGGGAAAGACAGAAAAAGCAGTTACAACTTGCATCAACTCCCATATCTATATTGTATATGTTCTCTTTAGTATTATACCTATTTCTTTTGCTATTTTGTAAGCTTCTTCTGGTGTCCTTGCAACTAGTCCATGTGGAACAGAAATGCCAGCCTCCTGCAACAGTCCCATGCTCAAGTATTCATGTAGTGACAGCCTCCTCTGTTGTTGCTGTTGCACCTGAAACCCATGGTTGAGCAGTCCTGGACTTCCACCAAGCACCTGAAGGAGAAGAGAAAAAGAAATATCAAAGGATATGATAAAAAAAAAAGTTTAGTATACAAACATCTGAGCACTAAATCCTAAGTTCTTGTACATTATCTTCCATGTTGGTCTAGGTTTTATAGAGGCAGAGATGAAGCAGTTTCTGTCTGTAATGGGACAGTTTCTATCAGTAAGAGCTAGCATGGTTAAAACACCCTTGACTGTTCAGTTAGTATTTAAGTACTTCAAGAAAAAAATCTGGAGGGAAAAAATATCCTCACTGAACTTGGAAGAATAAGAAAGCAGCAGAAAAACACAAAGAATAGATCTGCGCCAAAATTCTGGCGGGTTGTCTCCTGCCAAGCTAGAGAGGAAGGACACCAAGAAGTACTTTACATCAACCTCAGATGCTTGTACATGGCTACAGAACAGACTGTCCAGCCTTCATATAACCATTATGAAACACAGAACTAGAGGCAACCAGTCTGAAACATCAGCACTGAATCAGAAGGCTGACAGGTAACGTTAGCATTTCAAATACTAAGGAAAAGAGAACATGCTGGAAGCGTCTAGGAAACTCCAGTGCGGATCAAGTGATTCTTAATTTCTTCTATAAAACCCATGTACAGGACTCTGAGAATTTCTTACTGGACACTTCATGTACAGCAACACCAGAAGAAACCAATTTTGTTTATAAAACACCAGCAGTAACGCTACAAGAACAACGCCTCTTAAGAAAAACAGCTGCTGACGGACTTGGAGATTATTACTAAAATATATCTTGTAAAATAACTGCATTTCGTAGCACGAGCGCCTTACTACGGCACTTCAGGCTTGCGAGCCGTCAGAGCGTGGTCAAGCCCCAGGGCTCCCTCCTCGGCTCCTCTCTGGCACCGCACCCAGGCGGGCGGCGCTGGCGGCTGCCGCTGCCCTTCCTGGAGCTCCCTGCGCGCCCGCGGCGAAACCCGAGAGCGCAGCTCACCGCGACCTTCCTCCACGGGGAGGCTTTGACACTTCGGACTCGCTTGATCTCTGTTTTTTTATTTTTATTTTCCCGCGAGTACTTTAGTGAAGAACGAGGTCACCCTCCGCAGAAGGACTCACGGGACAGAGGAGCAGGCCTCAAAGGAGAGGCAAGGAGCACGTTCAGGGGCACTGCCCAGTCTCGCGGGGCAGTGGGGATGAAAATATCGGAAATTTTAAATTAGGAGAGGAAAAAAAAATGGGACGGGAATCACCCGGGCAAGACCTGTCACAAGCCAAGATGAAGCAGCGGAAAATGCCGAAGACGGACAGACAAGCGCGTGGACATGGAACTG